ATTAAAAGACATTTTAAAAGATTAAATGCATAAAATACCATTATAGATCACCATTACAGAAAATCTGCGATTGATTTTTATGATGGAGAATACTAATTTTGAACCCAATTAAGTAAAATGTTATTCAAATGCTTCTCATTAGATTTCTATTACAAAATATTATATCTAATTACTGTTATTACTATATTTTTGTGGAAATTTCTCCTTTTTTAATAGAAGCCTACATAATATCCTCATTGTACCTCGAAATCCTAAAATATTTGCTATCTGACCTTTTTAAGAGAACATTTATTGACCTCTGAATTAGAGCCTTCAAATAGGTTCACCATAGGATGTATGTATGTATGTATGTATTCATACTAGCTAAAGAACTTGATTAACCTTGTTTCAGACTTTATTCCCAGGCCTCTTCAGCTTTTAATTAGTGGCAAAGAATTCATTGTGTATAAGTAAAAACTGAAAAGAGCTGCAATGTCTAACCGGCTTGGGCTTAAAAATATTAGAGACCTAGATTATTATTGGGTCCATGAACAAAATTTTAACAAGCAGTCATAGTTATAAAATAGCAGCTCCCTTCAAATTTTTTCTTCTTTAGACGTTGACTCCATTTAGTCGGCATCCTTCTTGGAAGCTTCACCAAAAGTCTCCACAAGATCTGGAACTTCCTCATCATCATCTTCCCCAGTAGCATGTGGTGCTTTTCCAGCCCCAGACTGTGTGGGCAGAGCTTCAGCCAGTCTCCTTAAACGAGTCACACTGTCTGCCCCCAGCTGGTTTAAGATCCTAGGTGGCATTTCTGGCAGCTGCTTTGTCTCAGCATGGTGTGAACTGGTGGAAGTATTTGCTGCCAGGGATGCCTGCACTTTGGGATTGTTAAAATAGACCGCTCTTCCTTGGTTTGTAACACATTTGCTTCTTCAGTACCAGAGATATTGTTTACCACTAACTTGAAGGCGAACTGAAGTTTCTTTTTTATCACCCACTGGAGCTGTTCTACGAACCACCTTCTTCTTTCTGTGACCAGTTCTTTTCCCACCAGTGCGCGCTTGTGCTTGTAGCTTGGTGACTTTCTCCCAGTTCGTGGGAGTTTCTTTCATCTTGTTGGAGCGGGAATGGGGGGCAGGGTTGGGTTGGTATTCAGGACATTTTGGATGGACCAGCTGCAGTTGAGGTTAGGTTCACACACGTGGGGAGGCAAGATGGCAGTTACAGCATGTTCATCCTAGTATCTAAAATTCCCTCTGTGATAGTTCTAAACCCCGTGTGCTATCTGAATCTAGTTCTGTTGCTTGGTTTGTCTCTTGATAGTGTGTTGTTAATTTCCTTTTCATTGTGTGTCTCATCGTTTTTGGTTGAAAGCTAGTCATTCTGTGTAGGTGAATAGAGACTTCGGTAAACAATGTTTGTGGGGTGCCTGGGTGGCTCTGTCAATGAGGCGTCCAACTCTTTTTTTGAAATTTAATGTTACTTTTTCAGTATTCCAAGATTCTTTGTTTATGCACCACACCCAGTGCTCCATGCAATATGTGCCCTCCTTAATACCCACCACCAGGCTCACCCAACCCCCCACCCTCCCCTCCAAAACCCTCAGTTTGTTTCTCAGAGTCCACAGTCTCTCATGTTTCATCTCCCCCTCTGATTTCCCCCAACTCACTTCTCCTCTCCTTCTCCCAGTGTCCTCCATCTTATTCCTTATGCACCACAAGTGAAACCATATAATTGACTCTCTCTGCTTGACTTATTTCACTCATCCATGGGACTTATTTCAGTTCCATCCATGTTGATACAAAAGTTGGGTATTCATCCTTTCCAATGGAGGCAAAATACTCCATTGTATATATGGACCATATCTTCTTTATCTATTAGTCCATTGAAGGGCATCTTGGTTCTTTCCACAGTTTGGTGACTGTGGCCATTGCTGCTATGAACATTGGGGTACAGATGGCCCTTTTCACTACATCTGTATCTTTGGGGTAAATACCCAGTAGTGCAATTGCAGGGTCATAGGGAAGCTCTATTTTTAATTTCTTAAGGAACCTCCATACTGTTTTCCAAAGTGGCTGCACCAACTTGCATTCCCACCAACAGTGTAAGAGGGTTCCCCTTTCTCCACATACTCTCCAACACTTGTTGCTTCCTATCTTGTTAATTTTGGCCATTCTAACTGGTGTAAGGTGGTATCTCAATGTGGTTTTGATTTGAATCTCCCTGATGGCTGATGATGATGAACATTTTTTCATGTGTCTGTTAGAGGTGTCCAACTCTTGATTTCAGCTCAGGTCATGATCTTTGGGTCCTGTGATCGAGCTCTGCACCAGGCTCCACACTCGGTGCAGAGTCTGCTTGGGATTCTCTCTCTCCTTCTCCCCCTGCTCCTCTGCCAGTATGTACTCTCTATCTCTCTCTAAAATAAATAAAATCTTTAAAACAAACAAACAATATGTTCAGAAATGGGCCTGTCTTCTCTTTGGTAGAGAGTTTTGAGACACTTATGTCAAGTATTGTTGTTGTGTAGTTACCCTCCATCTGTACTAGACTTCAAATTCTTCCACCATTTTTTGCTTTGAGCAGTAGCTGACTTGTTGGATTTTTTTCTCCGTGTCTGTTCTACACTCAGCTGTCAGTCTTCTCCATGTTTATGTGTCCAAGAGGATGTCTTTCCATGCTTTTACCTCTCCCCCGCCAACAGTAAACTGCTGTTACTTGTTCCTGGATACTTACTAGTCTGGTAATGGAGGTAGGAGGGAGGGCATTCTTTGTTTTTTCTGGCTTAGCCTCACTGTTAGGCAGGTACCATATTATTGGCTCTCAGAGATGAGGTCTTCTTAGTGATCTTGATTCTCCCCCAGCATAGAAGATCCCTAGAGATCTGGCTCCTCCTTTAGGGGTAGACTTTATTTTACATTCTCTTTACCCAGTTATACTAGGCTTTAACTTGAGCCCTGAAAATGACAGGTTTGTGCCTTTCACCCAGTCACATAAGGTGACCGTGGTGGTGGTGGCAATGGCAGCTGCTGCTCTGTGTCTTCTTTTGGCTGCCTGGTGGGTTAGGGGATGGAGTTGAAGGACACCATGCCTTTCCCACAGTAACTTCTGCTCCCCTCCCCAATGTCTATACTGTAAGCAGGGCTTTCATTTCTCTGGTCTCTTGCCTTGCTGCTAATCTTTCTCATGAGTACATGATGGGAGTTTGTAGAGAAGGCCCTGCGAGTGGATGCAAGCTCACCTTGTGTCTGCAGCTCCCGAAAGTTCTAAAGTCTTACACTAGCTCACACTTTGCGTTTGACAGTTCATTAAATGATAACAGGCTGCCACAATAGATGTTGTTGTGGAAATGAAGAACACAAAGATGGTGAAAAGGACTGGTTATTTCTTACTGCACTGATGATTTTTAAAGAAAGAAAATGGCAATCTTGAGTTTTAACTTCCTGGATTAAAGTCTTCTCTGATTTCCCTAAAATAATTTCATATACTGTATAACGGCAGGGTTGATTGCCGGCCATTGAAAAAAGAGTATCCAATCTTTCGAGTTGGTGAGTCTGAACATAAACTGAAGTAACAGCTTCATCAGAACTCTTAAAGAAAAGTTAGGGCATTGGTTGAGAAAGAGACCCTGAAAATTTAAATGGGGGCACATTTGGATAGGTTTGGACACCCTCATCCTCAGCCATTTGATAAGGCTGGTCCTCTTTACCTTAGAGACAGTGTAATGAGTTCATCTGAGGACATTATAAGTGCATGCGAATTCTTTACCTGTATCACCCCTGCCATTCTTCACTGCCTCTAGACCTAGTAACTGGAGTAAGACCCCAGCATGCTCTTGGACAGGCACGAAGTATAACACAGGAGGAGAAGCCTTCCTTTCAAAAAGAACTGCTAGTGTTTGCTTGTCTACATTGGAACGAACCAGAGGTGTATGATAGGATTGGATTCTCAGGACTCTTGCTTGACTGGGGAGGCCTGGGGCCACATGTCAAGAGTGCACTTACCAGAGATTCTGAATTCAGCTTCCTGGTTCACACAGGTGGGCTTGAACCCACTTGTTGCAGATTCTACATGCTGGTTGTTTTAAGCCTGAACTCAGTGGTGGACCACACTAAAGGAAGTTGATATGCCAGGAATTCCTTGGTTTCATGTAGAGGAAGGAATGCAAAGAGTTAGAGAGCAGAGAATATTGGAATGGATTCGTGATGTATGACCTACTCCCTCATTTCTCCGACCTCCAAGAATGCCTGAGAGGCAATCCCTTCAACCAGGACGTTGAAATTGCTAGGGGAGCATCCACATTCCTGAAAAACTGTGACTGGCTGTCCACTTTTGGCCAGGAAAAAGAGAGAACTATTGCAATTCAGAAGCTGTGACTGTTGTTTTCTCCCTGACTTCAACAGGAATGCTGAAGCCCAGGGAGGCAGGGGCCTAGCAGAAGCCTTGAGGGCGCAAAGACAGAGGACATGCCCCTGGGCGGGATGCCAGGGACCAAGCGCTAAGAAGAAGAAACTGACTTGCGTGTGTCTTTTGTGGTGGCTAATTTTTTTAAGGCGGCCCTATCACTGAAACAGAACAGCTGCCTACTCCTTTGTCTCAACTACTTAATCGGTATGGTCCCCCACCCCAAAATCTCTGTCTGGCGGATGAAATCCTGAGCTGAAGAACCAGAATGAAGAGTGGAGAATGCAGTCTCGTCGGGGGATGCCCAGGCCGCCTGTCCTCAACAGCTCCAGCCCAGAGACGGCACCAGAAGAGGCATGGACATCAGGCGGTGTCCCCGGAACTGGGAGGTCCCTGTCAAGGGCAATTTCCTCGGAAGCACCCTGACCCCTCCGGCCTGGGCGGGGTTCGATGGTACTCAGAGCGGAGAGAGGACCCGGCGAGGGGGGCGGATCCTGAGGGCGTGATGTTTTGCACTTGGCCCCCAGCGCGAGGAGCCGCTGTTTACGCCGCTCGCGCGCCAGCGTGGACCGGTCCACCTGCCACCTGGAGAGGCGCGGTGCGGCGGGTCCATGGCGTCCCTGGGCGGCGGCTCCCTGGGCCTCCTACTCTGGCTCCTGCTCCTCCAGCCTCGGCTTGGTGGGGCGCAGGGCGGGTCCACATCGTCCCCACCCTCCTCGGCGCCCACCTCCCCATCGTCCTCGGGGGGCGGCCGTGAGGGCACCAGTGCAACCGTGTGGGGGGCCGAGGGACAGTCTGCGACCCCGGAGCCCCAAGAGGCTGCCATACTCTCCCAGCTGTTGGAACTGATCCCAGGTGACATCTGGCGTTGGGAGCCTTGAGGGGGGCTGAGGCCCGCAAGTGGGAGCCGGGGCTCCGGGGAGTCTGGGGGAGCCAGGATTCACCCCCTTGCCCCGCCCCGAGGGTCTGAGGAATGCAGCCCCGCTTGTGGAGTCTGAGCGGGACGCCGTGCGGCCTTGGAGGTCTGGGGGTACAGGGCCTGGGGACTCGGCAGCAGGGCCCTGGAGTCTACGGGGCTGTGGCCTTCACCGTCCCCCCCCCCCCACCCTCGCCTCCTCTGAGGGGCACTTGGTGCTCTCCTCGGAAGCCCGGGCTCTGTTTCGTGGAGGTTCTTCCCCCCACGCTGTTCTCACTCCAGGGTGTGGCCACGTCGTTGAGAACACCACGGGAGGAAAGGAGGCCGAAGAGGGGAAGTGGCCTTGGCAGGTGAGCCTGAGGATGAACCAGAAACACGTGTGCGGAGGCTCCCTCCTCACATCGCAGTGGGTGCTGACTGCAGGCCACTGTATTTTAAGGTGAGGAGTGAAGAGGGGTCACAGAGTTCTGAAGCCAGCCCTGCCCTCCTCAGGTACCCATTAGGTTCTGTTGCCCTGGCAACTTGACAAAACCCACACCCAACCCAACCCAACCCAACCCAACTCAACCCAAACCAACCCAGCCAAGGCCCGCCCGCACTACAAACCAGGTTCGGCACTGGCTGTCTCATTACTAGGAATACCAATTTGGTGAAGCAAACCAGTCGTTTGGACTAGCAAACCAATGTTGAGAGTCATTAAGGAGAGCTGTTTGGTGTTAGGGCGGTAGAAAGAGCGGTGAGGGAGGTTAGGGCCAGGCTGGGAAGCCTCTGCCATGTGTGGGAAAGGTCTCCATGAGGGGCATGTCCTCTCTCCCATAGCCATTTCCGCTACAGTGTCAAGATGGGAGATCGGAGCGCCTATAAGGAAATCACCAGTGTGGTGATCCCGGTCAGGAACGTCATCGTCCATCCTCGACTCTCGGTAGTTGGAGCTGTTCAAAATGACCTTGCCCTTCTCCATCTCCTCTACCCTGTGAACTTCACTGTGACCGTCCAGCCTGTATGTATCCCTCAGAAGACTTTCCAGGTGGAAGCTGGGACCACGTGCTGGGTGACTGGATGGGGCAAAAAAGAACATGGTGAGACTGTGAGGCAGGTAGCATGCTCAGGAAGAGGGAGGCAGCCCAGCCCTGAAGTAGGCAGAAAAGCTAAAGAGAGGGGCAGGAAGGAGGACTGCCTGGCAGAGGGGGAAGGCAGGGGGCAGAGTTTAGCAGTGGCCAGAGTAATGGCTTCTGATTGACTTGAGTCTAGAAATTAGTTGACGTCTTTTGTTACAGCACAAATATTTCATGGTAGCCGTTTAGGAAAGGCACAGGTCCTGGGACCTGGAGCTCTCTCAGGAGAAGAGATACCTGGGGGAAGTCTTTTTCTGTAGATTTGTGAGGCACCATACCTGGCTGGTTTGGGGGTGTTTTTAGGCTCCCTGGGGATGGAGCCAGAGGCCTTGGTGTTCTTCTGGGGTGGGTTTCTGCTCAGCAGGTGACGAATTGTTTGCCAGTCAGAGCTGTCCAGTCTCTGGAAGTACTGGCCTTGCTTGTCAGGGAGCTCCCCGTCCCTTTAGGGGCAGAAGGTCTCTCCGTTGCTGAGGCTGCAGGGCCTCCCGTCTCTGGGAAGAGGCTGGATTGGTAACTTGGGGACACTCCCCATTCTTGAGTCTGTGAACCTGCTCAAGAGTAAAGATACTTCTGATGCATGGGATCCCTGTCACTATTACTGTTGGTACTCAGAGTAACAGGTGCTTGGTTATCATTTCTCAGGCTGGGAAGGCCTTGCTCTCTTCCCATCCGGATTGGTCCTTCTCTATGCCATCTTGACTTTATTAGTTCTTACCTCCTTTTCTTCCCATGTCCACTTTGGTGCCCCATTTCCTTCACTGTCAAAGGGGCACAGAACCCACGACCCTGCCTTTTTCAAAGGGGAAGCTAGGTGCCGAGGGGCTTACCGTCCACTGGGCACAAGCCACCGACTGCTGAGTTTCTTCATCCCTTGTAGGTGGCGACCTCATTACGGGTGTTCTCCAGGAGGTCGACCAAAACATTATCCTCCATGAAAGGTGTAATGAGATGGTTCAGGAAGTCATGGCAACAAAGAAGAACAGAGTCCTGGAAGGGATGCTCTGTGGCTATAACGGAGCTGGAAAGGATTCTTGTCAGGTAACTTTGCGGACCCTGTTCCATCTGCACATTGAGGGTGGCCCCTCCAAGCTTCCTCATTCCCAGGTGCCAGGGCCTGGGTGACCTGCCACCACCTCCTTTCGCTCCTTTGCGAAGGAGATTCATGGGCAGAACCTGGCCCGCCCTTTTCTTCCCGCATCGAGTGCCTTCTGGAGGAGGGGGCGTTTGAGCCTGGACTCAGAGGATGAGTCTTGGGAATTCTTGGAAAGAGGAGAACAGCACTATAGGGAGGGGGAGCAGCACAGATGGTGGCTCCGAGGTGTGAGGGAACTTGTCACGTGTAGGGCCCACCTTCCAGGTCTGGAGCAATGAGGGGACCAGAGAAGAGGGCTGGAGTCAGGTTACGTGTGGCCTGGGGCGCTGGGCCGAGTTTCTCAATGCCATCCGGGCAGGACTGTAGGCTAGGTGTTTGTGTCCATCATCTAGGTGATGACGCGGAGTCCTGAGCAGGACCTGGGGCAGTGAGGGGGTGAAGGAGGTGTGTCTGAGGTTGAATCCTGAGTTCCTGGTGACTGACTGCTGGGAGGGTGGGGGCGAGAGAGAGGTTTGGAGGGTTCTGTTTCTGTCTGAGCTGGTTGCTGGGGGGCGGGGGCCCCAGAGCAGGGCTGGGAGAGGACATGCCGGGTTCTGCATCCGATGTGGTGTCTGTGGGATGTCTGGAAGTGAGGCATCAGAGATGGAGGGAGCTGGCTGTATGGGTTAGGAGGTTTAGAGAAACTTTAAGCTAGATTTAGGGGACTCTCATGCAGATGTGATATTCAAAATATTTAATAGCCCGTATGGTATAGGAAATGACCAGTTATAATATCCTTCCAAGGATAGTAAAATGTTCCCATTAACTTTTCCCTTCCTCCCTCCCTCCTTCCCTTTTTTCCTTCATCCCTTTCTTTTTCTTTTCTTTTCTTTACTCTTCTTTCTTTCTTTCTTTCTTTCTTTCTTTCTTTCTTTCTTTTGAAGATTTCAAGTACTCTCTATACCCAGTGTGGGGCTCAAACTTACAACCCCGAGATTAGGATTGAGCCAGCCAGGCGCCCCTTCCCATTAACTTTTCAATTCTCAGTTCGCATATTCACAGAAGGGTGAGCCCGGTAGGTCCCTGGGGAAGGTCCCCGCGTGCCTGACTGCCCAGTGCCTTACACGGCAGTCAGCCTGCTCTGACGTGGATGGCCTTCTATTCCTGCATTTGTCTCTTTCTCTTTCTCCAGGGAGACTCTGGGGGTCCTCTGGTCTGTAAATATAAGGAAACATGGGTCCAGGTGGGAGTCGTGAGCTGGGGCATTGGCTGCGGTCGTGGAAATATGCCTGGAGTTTATACAGATCTTGCTGTCTATGCGGAGTGGATAGCTGGAGTGATTAATCAGGCCTCCTTTTTGTATCCAGTGGTGTTCCTCATCCCACTTCTGTGCCTGGTGCTGCCCCTGGGCATCCTGGTGGCCCCGTGATCGCCCCGGCCCACCCCCCTCCTATTTCCGAGTCTCACACCGGGCCTCTCCTCCGATCTCCCACTCCTGCTCAGATGCCCTTTCCTCCAATTCTGGTTGGCATCCCCTGATCCTGTAGAGAGCCACACAGTAGGAACTGGCAGCAAGGCTGGAGCCCCGAAAGCATCCCAGTCTGATGCCCCAGTCACCTGCCCCAGTCACATGCACAACCTTGGCTGTGCCTTTGCCCTCCTGGAAGGAGGGGGTCGGCATCCCAGCCTGAGAGCCGGCTGACCTGCCAGGGGGAGCACAGGGCTTCCTTGTCATCTTGGAGAGCCTCTGCTAGAGAAGACCCCTCATGAGCAGTGAGACAGCGTGGGACCTGGGTGTGGTCTCAGGCTGTCACCTGACCCTGTGTTGAAGCAGTCAGCTTGCTGATTGTGCAGAGAGAGAGAGAGGGAGGGGGTGTCACCATGTCTCTGCTGAGGTGTGAGGCCTGGGGTTTCCACATTGGACTGGGGTGTCTGGGGCTGGGAGACGTTTCCCTAGCACCCAGCGCAGATCCTGCCACACAGGTGCTCCTGGGGCAATCCTGTGGTGGGCCCCCCTTCCTCAGTCTCTAGTGGTCCCATCCAGGCTCAGCCCAAGCTATGTGGAGGCATTGAGGGGTGTGGAGATCTCCGATGTCAACTGAATAAATGTTTGGATTGTCACTTGCGTGTTCTGTATCTCTCCTGATGTGGGGTGTGGGGACACTGAGGAAAAGTTATCTCACATTTAACTTAGGGATGTGTTTGCGATGCTTTTGAAACTCTAGAATGAGAGGGGAGGCCCTCATCTACTCTGACCCGAGTCCGACTTGGGTCCTGCTGCTGTGCCCCTCATAGCCACCCGTATCTCTGCAGGGAGCTTCGTAGCTGAGTTTGCTGGCCATTGCCTCTGGGGAGAAGACATGAGAGAGAGAGTGGAAGCACGAGAGGGGTTAGGGCAGTGCCTTCGAACAGCAGCCCATACTTTCTGCCTGTTGGAGTTAGATGGAGCCTTGAGCACCAGATGACCTTAGACTCTGAAGGACATGGGGCCGAGTCTCAGGGAGGAGACAGGCTGAGTACTCACCACATGTGTGCCGGCTCGTTTCCCTCATTATCCTGCCATCCCAGAGTAGCTGTTTGTCACCTTTACCCCACTGTTACCAATTTCTTTCCCCCATCTCAAAACCTTGAGGTTCCTTTCTTTTAGCAGGGGATTAGTGCCTTTTGCATGTGAGAAGAAAGTGCCTGTGAATATTTAGGTGAATAAAGAAGTGATTAGATCCGTAATAGCCACATCTCACACTTTTCATTCCTTTCCTTCTGGACACATAGCCAGTCAGAATAAAGACTGTCTTTCCAAGTCCCATCCATCTAAGTGTGGCACGAATTCTGGCCAATAAAATACAGACCGAAATGTTGGTGAATTTGGGGATGAGCCCTTCTTCAGAGCTCTTTCTTCTCTCCTGGCTGGAATGCGTACCCAGTGACCAGAGCTTGAGCACTGATCTTGGGACACGAGGGTATGGAGGTATGGAGCTAAGGGTATGCAGCAGGAATTTAGAAGGAACTTGGCTCCTTGGAATTTGCAGGGCTATCACAGTTCTTCATGCAACAGGGAAAGAAACTCTTTAATTAAGCCATTGTTCTCTTCCGTCTCAGTTACTTATAGAAAAGCCTCATTCTAACCAACCATGTGGAGCTTTATTTCTGGATTGTTATAAATATAAGTTTTAAAAGTCATTTATTTAGACTAATTTAAAAAAAAATTTTTAGGGAGGGGGTGAGAGGCAGAGGGAGAGGGAGAATCTTAAGCAGATTCCCTGCTGAGTGCAGAACCCAGCGCTGGGCTCCATCTTAGGACCCTGAGATCGTGACCTGAGCTGAAATCAAGAGTCAGACACTTAACCAACTGAGCCACCCAGGCACCTACTTCACTATACACTATTGCTTCTTTCTCTGTTCATTTTTCCAAAATTGATAAAGTTAAAAGCTTATGTTCATGAATGACTGTTCTTTCTTAATGCATTTCTGCATTATTTTCTTTATTGGGGTATAATTTATATATAGTAAAATGTACACATTGCAATATACAATTTTATGAGTTTTAACAGAGGTATTCTCCCATGCTAACGTCTCCAAATCATGATTGAAAACATTTGCATTAATCCAGGATATTCTCTTATATCCCTTTCTAATCATCCCCTCCCAGAAGTAACCACTGTTCTGATGATCAGATTATTTGCATATTATTGAACCTCATTTTTTTTTTTTTTTAAGAGCGGGAGGTGGCAGGGTCTAAGGGAGAGCGAGAGAGAGAATCTTAAGCAGGCTCCACACCCAGCAGGGAGCCTGATTTGGGGCTCGATCTCCCAACCCTGAGATCCTGACCTGAGCCGAAGGCAGATGCTTAATTGACCGAACCACCCAGGTGCCCCTAGGTCATTCCTTTTTATTGGGGAGTAGTAATATTCCCACACAGACATTCCACCATTGGCTTAGTCTGCTGATGGACACTTGGGTTGTTTCCAGTTTGGGGTATTATGAATAAAGCTGCTAATAAGCATTCTAGTACAAGATTTTTTTGTATCTATATACTTTCCCTTCTTTTGCAAATCAACCTAGGAGCAGAACTGCTGGCTCGTGAAGTTAACGAATGGTTAATGTTATTAGAAATTTCCTAAGAGTCTTCCGAATTATTTGTACCATTTTACGCTACTCCCAGCAATAAATGAGAGTTCCAGTTGATCCATACCCTCATCAGTCCTCAGGCTTTTTTTTTTTTTCTTTCTTCTTTTTTTTTTTTTCCAATTCTAATAGGTATGAAATGGTACAGCATTAGGGTTTTTATTTCTGTTTCCCGGTAGATAATGATGTTGAGCATCTTTTTATGTACTGCTGGTCATGTGCATATCTTCTATGAAGTATGTTTTCAGCTCTTTTGTCCATCTTTAAATAGGATGCTTATTTTTTTTTTTTTTTTTTTTTTATTGCTGACTTCTAAGTAGCCTTCCTGTATTCTGAGTAGAATCCTAAGTCTGTGACTCTTTTCACTTTTTAGCTGGGGGCTGTGAGGCTTTTTCTTCTATTTATTTCTCCTGGAAAATTCATAATTTTAGCTTTTATGTTTAGGTCTGTGGTCTACAAACTAATTTGGGAGATGGTATGAGATACAGGGATGAAAGTATATTTTTCTGTATCTTTAATACTTATCTAGTGCCGGTACCATTTTCTAGAAATACATTTATTTTCACATTGACTTACATTGGTGCTTCATCCAAAATTGACATCATATATGTGCATTTCTTTATGGATTCCCTATTCAGTTCCTTATCTGTTTGTGTGTGTGTGTGTGTGTGTGTGTGTGTGTGTGTGTGTGTGTTTATCTGTATATTCTTATGCCAATTTTACAGTGTCCTAGTTACTGTAGCTTCTATAGTGAGTCTTGAAAGTCAGTAATGTTACACCTCCCAATTTCTTCATGTTTCTCAAGGTGGAGATTTGTGTAGAAATTGACAAGCTGATTCTAAAATGTATACAGAAAAGCAAAGGATATAGAATAATAATAATAAAAAAAAGAAAACTCTTATACTTCAAGACTTACCATAGAAGTGTAGTCATCAAGGTAGTATGGTATTGGCACAAGGGCAGACATATGGACCAGTGGAACAGGATAGAGAGTCTAGATACAGCTCCACACATATATGGCAAATTGGTTTCAACAATGGTATCAAGGCAATTCAATGTAGGAAAGGACAGTATTTTATTTTTTTAAATTTTATCTATTTATTTATTTAAAATATTTTATTTATTTATTTTGACAGAGAGAGACACAGCAAGAGAGGGAACACAGGCAGGGGGAGTGGGTGAGGGAGAAGCAGGCTTCCCGCCAAGCAGGGAGCCCGATGCTGGGCTCCATCCCAGTTCCCTGGGATCATGAACTGAGCCACCCAGGTGCCCCAAGGATAGTCTTTTAAATAAATGATAACTGGCACAATGGGAGATTCCTATGTAAAAACAAAACAAAACAAAACAAATCTCTGAATCTTAACTTTGCATTACATGTAAAAAATTACTTAAAATGGATTATAGATCCGAAGGGGCACATGTACCCGAATGTTTATAGCAACAATGTCTACAATAGCCAAACTATGGAAAGAACCTAGATGTCCATCAACAGACGAATGGATAAAGAAGATATGGTATAGGGACGCCTGGGTGGCTCAGTTGGTTAAGCGGCTGCCTTCGGCTCAGGTCATGATCCCAGCGTCCTGGGATCGGGTCCCACATCGGGCTCCTTGCTCAGCAGGGAGCCTGCTTCTCCCTCTGCCTCTGCCTGCCATTCTATCTGCCTGTGCTCACTCTTGCTCTCTCTCTCTGACAAATAAATAAAATCTTAAAAAAAAAAAAAAGAAGATGTGGTATATATACACAATGGAGTACTATGCAGCCATCAAAAGAAATGAAATCTTGCCATTTGCGACGATGTGGATGGAACTAGAGGTATCATGCTTAGAGAAATAAGTCAATCGGAAAAAGACAACTATCATATGATCTCCCTGATATGAGGGAGAGGAGATGCAACATGGGGGGTTAAGGGGGTAGGAGAAGAGTAAATGAAACAAGATGGGATTGGGAGGGAGACAAACCATAAGTGACTCTTAATCTCACAAAACAAACTGAGGGTTGATGGGGGGAGGGGGGTTGGGAGGGGGTGTGGGGTTATGGACGTTGGGGAGGGTATGTGCTATGGTGAGTGCTGTGAAGTGTGTAAACCTGGAGATTCACAGACCTGTACCCCTGGGGATAAAAATATATGTTTATAAAAAATAAAATTAAAAAAATGGATTATAGAACTACACAGAAAGTCTACATCTAGAAAACTTCTAGAACAAGGAAGAAAAGTCTCTGTGACCCTTGAGTTGGCAAAGATTGCTTAAACAGGACACAAAGAACATGACCTACACAAGACAATAAATGGCTGGATTTCAT